AATTTTACAATTTTAAGTTCTACTTTTAAAAATTTGCAAAAATTATTGACAAACTTTCGAAAACGAAACTGTTGCCTCCTGACATAGAGCGACAATTTCTCCATTTAATAGTGTGAATACCAATTTTGTAGTTTCAACCGGTTTTGAGCAATTAATTTTTGAAAAATCACCTGTAGGAAAGTGATAAATTGCATGCGACATTTTACAAAAATTTCAACATTTTCCATGAAAAGTTATTACAATGAAAATAATTTGTTACATAGAGCACCCGTGTGATAAAAAATTAAACAGAGTTTCTCTCAATTCTGTAGCTCTCACTAACTTACCAGGAATTTTTGAAAAAATGACTGTAGCAAAGTAACAAATTTGCATTGTAAATGACATTTTTTTTTAATTCCATGGATTGTCTAAACACCTTTCTAGAATGAAAATATTTTCTAATTTAGAGCGCGAATTTCTCCATCAAATAACGTGAAGACCAACTTTGCATCTCCAACCAATTTTGAGCAATGAATTTTTGAAAAAAGTACCTATCGAAACGTGATCCATTTCTAGCGACACTTTAAAAAATTCGTCAACATTTGTAAGAAGTCAGTATAATAAAATTAATTATTCATAAAGAGCAACATTTTCTCTATTGAACACGGTGACGTCCAACTATGCAACCCTGACAGATTTTGAGAAAAGCAGTTTCGAAAAATTTCTGTTGCAAAATGACAAATTTGCATTTCAACTTCCACTTAAAAATTCTCCGGAGTCGTCAAAAAACCTGTCTGGACTGAAATTTTTCCCTGTATAGAGCGAAAAAACGGCCAACTTTGAGACGAAAATTTTGAAAAACACCAATTTGATAACTTAACCAAATACACTGAAGACTTATCTTTGTTGTCCAACGAATTTATTTATTATTTTACAGTCGCATGTACCGGAATTCTCTGGTTAAAGCGATAAGTCTTATCAGTGGCAGGTGTTTCGGATATCGCATTAGCTTCCGGTGGCCGTTAGAAGCAACTAAAAAAAACAATTTTTGGCCGATCCAGGAATGGGAAGCGCTCAAATTTTGAAATGCGTTCGAATCGTCCAAATCTTGGCAAAGGAAACTTTGATAAAGTGGAAACTGACCCACGTTAAACAAAATTGCGGTGAACAAGCACAGTCTAATTTGAAGTGTGAGCATGACATGACTTGTTGGAATATCACGTGCAATTAGCGTGTTTTAGTTAATTAATAAGTAGGTGTCATTCATTTTCCTCTATGAGTAACTGTAGCCAAACAAACCGGACCAGTGGCTGCGGTGGGTATTTTTGCCCAAAAAAATGCGCGTAATTACTGAGCAGCTAATTCACTCCACACACTGTCAGATACACACCTAAGAAAGCACTCACATGATTTAATGATGTAATGAAAATTCCCTCCACACACGTCAATTACCTTATTCCTAGGCATTTCTTGCAGTTCCATTTTGTCCAAAAAGCCTCACTTTTTTTGGATCGTTTCCATCGGGAAATCAGGAACAGTTTCGAGCCCGAACACGACACACAAGGCACTGTTTGGAAAGTTGAAAAATTTGCGCGCTGATCGTTCGGAGTTTCTGTCCAGAAAGCACATTGGCACAGGACTAAATTTAAAATGTCCAGCGTTGTTCAGTTTATTTCGAAATCCGATCTAATATTAGGTTGTGATGGTTCAATTTGCCATTGCGTTTATGCGACTACACCGTGTATTTATTTGTGTGCGTTTGTTTCTCTTACAAAACCGCGCTTGACTCAAAAGGTTTTATAGTTTATAATATATAGAGCTTGGATGGTGCAGATAGTCAAGTCCCAGAGCAGTTGGCTTGACCAAGCGGTTTGGTTTCCGTAGAAACGCACCCGCAGCTGGACTCTGATTGGTTCAACATACGGCCGCCTTTGAGCTATATTGGCGTGAAAGCGGACATTGACTGTCTGCACCAGAGGCCATTTTTTAATTGACTAATTTAATTTTTGCGTTGGTCAAGTTCAAGGCTTTGATACTTTGGAATGAAATTTCGTAGATTCAATTTGCGTCATTTTTTTTTTGGAAAACCCTATTAATAGTGTTTTAATCTGTCGGTTGCCACCAACTTTAAATACCATGCATAACCGAAAATAGTTTGGCAGTAAGTCCGCATGGAGAAAATGCATAGTTTGGCAACTATTTAGCAATTTTACTGGACTTCAATACATCACTCTCAAGTCCTAGATGCACATTTGCCAAAAAAACCCGATCAACCTTTGGATTTCGTTTCAGATTACAACCATCTATCTTGATGAACCAAATTCATAAACTGGCATGTTAGATTATCGGAAAAATGATTCATAAAGTAGAAGAAAATTCTTTATTAACAACACCAGTAAAATACTCCACAATTATCTAATCAGTTCAACAAGAAATCCATGAGATGATTGTTTTGCGGAAAATCCTTATCGCCGATTTCTGAGGATGGACTTGGCGTGACATTGATAAATCGGCATTTGAGTCAACCCAATCAAATTGCGTCATCCATCCACATACAATAAATGTCTCAAGTAGGCCAAGGAATGTTGAAATTCATACCAAAAATGTCTATGAACAAACGTTCACATGACAAGTGGCATTTGCGTTGTCAGAGTAACGCCAACCAAAGACCAACTTTCAAAGTTGTCGGGCATTTTTATTGTTACTACTTGCGTTTCTATGACACTGTGAATGCCACTTGTCAATTTGACTTTCGTTTGTTACTCATGTTTTTGTTTTGTTTTACGGTGCCATAGCAACGCCCGTCAAGATCCAACTTTCACAGTTCCATGGTCTTCTTTGTTATAAACATCTGTCAACATTTCTGTCTTTGACTGAAATGCACATTCTGAGCGTACTGTTGATTGATGTACAGGGCGGTTATAATTAGAGTTGTTAAGGAAATTTGAAACCACATAGAAACGCTTTTAAGTAAATCCAGCCATTAAAGTGCGTGTAAAAAGGAACGTTTCTTGGATACTCTCATCCAGATCGTCAGCTCTGGCGGTGTCGCAACTGATCTATTAATAATTCCGGGTCTATCTCAACCTATGCACTCAAACTGAAAAAAATCGAAGGTCGTTGACTGCAGATTTACGTAAACAATGTGGCATTTTTGAGTGGATTCCAAAATGGCAACGGACAAGCGAAATGTAGGTCAGTCTTTTGCTAGAACTCTTTAAATACTAGCTCTAGTCAATATCCGGCTCTAAATTCATATTTAGAGCCCGAAACCCAAATAGCGCCGATTGCGTCATTTGCCTATTAAGCAAACTATTTGTTTTAATGTCCATCAATCAGAGGGGCCACTTAAGCCCACACCAAAAAATCTACTGACAAGCGATTGGATGCAGCGTTGATTTTTCGCCACCCTGTTGATGCAAATGGCAAAAAAATTAACAGTCAACAGTTGCGTAAGCTCATAAAAGACCTTTTAAGGCATCTAACAGGCAACTTTTTGATGATTAAAGAAATTGATGACTGAACAATCAAGGTTGGCGTTTCCACTGATGCAACCAGATGGTCGATTTCTGCATTGCCACAGTTCCGGACACTTTACCAATTAAGAAAACAATAATAATAATTAATGTTTTTTTGACCCCCTTACCGCTGTGGTACGACGGCGCCTGTGTCTATCTGATTGAAATTCGAAATTGCGACCGAAAACTACGCAGTTAGCTTGGAACAAGTCTATTTTTTGCTAGCACCTCATTTGGTACCACATTCCTAAAGCGAACCATGCACGACACATCAAGCGAACCATTCAATTCGCTCAATCAGCAAACTTTGGTGCGGGAAACCTGTTCCCAGACGCTTAGCGTCCTCGTTTCCCTAGAAACGGTGTTATGTGGTGAATGGACTAGTGGATGAAACCTATCCGCCCCAATCTTATAACAATAATAGGCAAAATTTCTTGGAAATTCAGCCAATTAAATTGACTTTTTAGGTACAGGCTAAGAATAATGCATTAAAGACGTGTATGAGCTGCCAAAGTGTTAATGTTCGTTTGCAAAAGAATTAATTTTGTCGGCCGCAATTCAATGGGATGGAATGGATTGTTAACCAGTTGAATCCGGTTCTCTTGGTCTAAAAATACCGATTATTTCCACTTAACCAGTCATTGAATCGATTGTATCAGTCAATAAAAGTGGTTCGGCTACAGGAAAAAAATTGATTGAAATTGAAAACCATCTACAAGGTGGAGTGGGCAAATTGCAAATTTACCCTTATGGTCTTATTATTAAATTGTAGTGAACTTTGCAGTTTTTCACGTTTCGTTTGGCTGGCTGGAGAACCATCCTTAATTCCATGCAGGCAGTCCGAATTATTTAATCCATTGGCTTGCAACTGTTTAACGAGTCAGTTTCAAATTGAGCCACCCAGTATCTGTGTGTGTGGAGAGCGCCTGAATATTATTAATGGCTCTTTGATTCGCCAAGATTTTTTGATTGATTTGCATAAAACAGCCAATCAAGAATGATTATACGATTGTTTTATGTCGGGTAACTGGACTGGTTTACTAGTTTTAACTGGATTTGTTCTGCGAATTTTCGAGATTCTTGTGCCTTGGGCGACTAAATGAACGGCAAAATCAATGTTTTAACTAGATTTTCTTCAAAATCCTGGAATTTCTTAACTTTGGATTTTTGTTTTAAATACAATTTAGGCTCGAAAAAAACCTTTTTAAAGGTTTTTAGGTTTTAGCAAAACTGTACTACAATGTTGAATTCCTCAAAATGCACTTTTTCTAAGTTTCAACAGGTGCGACTGCCCCATCTACAAAGTTAGATACCTGCAGAGCATTCTCTTGGCAGTTTCCTAAACTAAACGCGCACCAGTTCTCTGTGCAATTGAGATTTCTGCATACACCTTCGAACATAGATGGCGCCTCATACTCCAGAGGCTGATAGGTTCAATTGACTTTACCATTGCAATTTTGAAGATTGGGGGCTGATTTCTAAGGAAAATTAAGGAAAACTTACCAAAAACTCAATCCAGAGCAGCTGCAAACACAGAAAAGCACTTCGGAAACCTGTTTGTCTTGGAAGAACCAGATACACTAATCCAATTAGCGGAACCTCGAGGTATAAAGTCAATCGCGAGATGCTAATTGAAGAAAAAATGCATATCGCAACACCTCCAAGGTCCAGCATGGACTATCAAGATTGTTGAAAGATACGCTATTTATACTTGAATATGTTGCTTTCTGAAGTTTTGATAGGACAATACCATGTGGTATAACAGGAAACTACGCTGATGCTCACTAAACCGCACAAACTGTTAAATCAATGCAACTATTGATGGATGGCTTGGAAGGAAGCACGACCGATAGCGTCATGAGGGGGATTTTCCATTATTCCCCGATAAATTGTTCAGTTGAAGGTTTTTTCAAGCCAAAGCCAAAAGCTTAAATATTTTTTTCAGCCAACGCTAAAGTCCAGCCAAAGTTGGATGGAAATTGGGATTTCAAGTGAATGCAGCATTCACCAATTCTGGAGCGGCGGTTTGAGGACAAATGCTTTGGATGCCAGAAGAACAGAGAAGATGAAACATAAATAATCAAACATACACATACACATACATTTTCTGTGCTTTTTGAGCGATTGCGATTTTTGCATGTTGCAAAAATTCCAGTGAGCGCAAAAAACACTGTTGTGAAATTTTAATTTTTTATCGAAAATTTCATACGGGGAGAGGGCTGATTTAAAAAAAGAAAAAAAATGTCTGCAATTTTACATCTTTTCCACCCGAAAAAGGCGAGAAATGCAAGGAGGTCGGTAAAAAACACGCTCGACTTTTCAGATGCAAAATAATCGACATTTTCAGACGTTTTTAGCGAAGACGATTGATAACCGACGATTTCTTCCTTATTATGGACACAAACTCACATTTGCAATTTAGGGAGCTTTTCAGCTCGCAGACAAACCAGTCAGGGCAAAAACGATGTTTAGACAACTCACAATTTTTTAGAATTCCAAAAAAATCTAGAAAATTCTTCAGCTTGGAAAATCAAATAAAAATTTGCACATTTCTTGTTTGAAGTCTGCTATGAATTTCCAGAATTTGAACTTCCACTCTGATCGATGTTGGAGTTATGCATTTTTATCGGCACACCTGCAAGTTTGGACACATTTCTGAGAGTCAAAGTGTAAAAAATTACAGAAATTTCACTTTTTTCACGGCATGTGCCGAAGCAAACCACGTCTGAAGATGCACGCCACTCGTGCGTACGAAACGCTCACAATCCCAACGGCTTGAAAATGATGACTCTCACGCGGGAAACCCGACCCAAAGGTATTTATATGATAAAGTTTCCTCAGCTGTAGGAAAACTACCATCATGCAATGACAAATTGATTGAGAACAGTGCAAGCCATTCAGAATTTTTCCTCACTCACGAGTGGGCTTCAAATAATAAACATTTTAGCACGTTTGGCATTGTTTCGCAATTTGCCTACGACTGGAGTGTTATCTTTGGACTAATTTACAACTCTTAAAAATTAGGAAAAATCACTTAGGAGTGATTCAGTTTGCGTACTGTCGAGCTGCTAACTCTTCCTCCAAGTCGGTTCACTCGGTGCGCGCAAAATGACTTCCAGTGGTTCTAGTGCGGGTGTTTTCCAGTATGAGGCGGTACCAAGGGGTGAAACCACCCCAATGAGCTCCACCAAAAAGTAAGTACTAAAGTTAAAAAGAAAACGGGCAGGAACAGCAGGAACGCTGAACGACTATCGACGAAGAACTAACTGGCTGTAAAAAAATTGCGGTAGACATCAGCTGATGGCAATTTGCAATAAATTGGCGACTCTAAAGCATGGAACAAGTCAACTAAAAATAACACCAATACGTAAGAGAACTGATTTAAATAAAATGGCATAGACGGCAATAATTGACGCAAATAGAACCAATTTTCGAGGGGTACGCAGCCCAATTCCCATCGATTTAACTCGATTAATCAGCTCTTGTGCCAGTACTTTCAGAATCGCAGTGAAAAGTTGTTTTTCTTGTCGATGCTCGTGCGTCAGAAATGCACAGAAAATACACGCATTAATTCTTTTATTTGTGGTACCACTTTGGGAAAACTGGAAAAAACTATCTTGCAGGCCTGAAACCTTGATTAATTTGCTCAACGAAATCGTTTGGACGTCGTCTAATTAGATTAAAAGTGGATTTATTGCCGTCAATAAATAAACCACCTACTTGGCAAATTATGTACAGACTGTTTCAATTGGTGGTAAAACTTATCACAAGGCTGTTGAATGGCACATTTTCAGTGGTTTTGCTGGGAAATCGAATCTGTTTGTTCAATTCGCAAACATGACTGTTATTCTATTAGCAAATAAGTATGTATGATTTAAAACTGTACAAGATGTAAGTGAATCCAGCATCCGAGTAAGTTTTGGAAATGTTCTCAAATGGCACGTCTGTACTTGAAAATTAATTGCTGGCAAACACGAGAGGCTCCAGAACTGAAAATTTCCAGATTTATACAAAATACCTTTGTTGATGCGAGTGCAATTTTCCAATTAAATCAAAGCTTTACTTCATTTTCTATAACTTTCCCAACTTGTTGATATGTTTTCAATCGTGCGCGCTTGGACCTAAAAACGTGTAAGTCGCAAATTCGGGTCACTCCATTACTGGAATTTTGGCATTTTAAAGACAAAGAACTAGTGGATGAGTTTGCAAAAATTCGTTAGATTTGCGCAGCTAATAAATGTTCTAGAATTTTTCAAACATCGACTCTTTCAGAAATGCGTCCAAACAGGCTCTAAAAATTTGTCACCCGCAAACTCAATCAGGTTGAAAGTCAAGATTCTGGATACTTGTTGAATTAGAAAAGGATCCAGTCATCCAATGTGTAAGTTTTTATTCGATTTTCCAGGCTCAAACCATTTTTATAAATTTTAATTTTTTTGCAATAAGCACTGGTAACTTTGCGGTGATCGAATGGCGTAAGTTTGGACATTGATGGACAAGATCCCAACAAATTAGTGTGGATAATTTGACCAAGTTAAGAAAACTGGTAAATTTTCTGAAAATTTTCAAACTTTAACTTATTCAGAATTGTGCCCCAAATATTTACACAGGTAGATCTAAAAGTTCGTCTATTTTAAAAACCACCTGAATTGCTTCTGGCTAAAATTTCTGGTACTTAGAGCAGAGGCCTGAGTAAAGAAGTACAGAAAATTTGAGTAAGTTTAGAGATCTACAGAATTTTCGGGAAATTTTCAGCCGTTTAGAAAAAAAATCCGTCCATGCGCCCTTGTGTTTAAAAATTCGAACCTCGCACATTCAGGTCACTTCAAAACTAAAATTTTGGAGCTTTTAAAGACCAAAATTTAGTAGATAAGCAGGGAAAAACTCACTCGGTTTGCGCTGTTAGTGAATTTTCTGGAATTTTTCTAACTTTGATCTTTTTTTGAAAAGTGTCCAAACTTACAGGCGTACCTCTAAAAAATTGTAACCGGACTCAATAAGGCTGAAAGTTCAAATTCTGGACATTCATAAAAGGGGCTTTGGCCAACCAGTGTGCACATTTTGATTTGATTTGTAAAGCTGAAACCATTTAAGTAAAGCATAAATTTAAATTTTTTTGAAATTCTGAAAATTGTCCGAGCGTGTGCGCTTTTCATTAAACATTTGTTACTTAAAATTTCTGATCGATCGAAAGGCGCAATTCTGGTTATTTATAGAAAATTTCCCAAGAAATACGTGTGGAAAATTTGAGTAACTTATTGAAGCTAGTAAATGTTCTGGGAATTTTCAAAATTGCACTTCTTCCGTAATGTGCCGGAATTTACACACGTTGATCTAAAAGTTCGTCAATTTTAAATGCCACCAGACTTCTAGTTAAAATTTTCTGGCAGTAAGAGCAGAGGCCTCAGTAAAGAATTATGGAAATTTTCATTCTAGTCGGAGTGCTGAAAAAGTTTCTAGAAATGTTAAAACTTTTGAAATTTTGAAAAGCGTCGCGACCGTGCGCCCATCTCTTTAAACAGACGTAACTCGCAAATTCGCCTAAATCAAATGACGCAATTTTGGGCATTTAGAGCAACGTTCTCCTGAAATACGTACAGAAAATTTCAATAAGTTCAGGGTGCTATTGAATTTTCTGGAAATTTTCAAACTTATTTTTTCAGAAATTTGCTCCGAACCTACAAGCGTGGATATGAGCATTCGTAAATATTAAACGCCACAGGATTTAAAAGTAAAATTTTGGACAGTTAAAGAATAAACCGCAGTCAAGAATTTCTGAAAATTTGAGTAGATTCTTCGAGTTATTTAAAACTCTAGAGCTATTTAAAAATTTGAAATTTTGAAAACTTTCCGACAGTGCGCGGTTGTGTCTAAATATTCGTAACTCACACATTCAAAAAGCTCGAATAACGCATCTATGGATTTTTATCGAAGAGCACCTGGTAGATGAATATGGAAAATTTCAATTAGTTCAGACAATTGGTCAATTTCCTAGAAATTTTCAAACTTCCAGCAATTCAAATAAGAATCCAGACCATGCTTAAGGTTAAGGTTAAAAAACCGTAAATCAAAAATTCCAGCATGTTCCAAAATTCAAATTTTGGATCTGAGCATTAGCGTTAAACGAAGCATTAGTGCAGAAAGTTATAATATGTCCTTAATGCTGCTTCATTATATAAAAAATCAAACTTTGAGTATTTTAGAAACGCGCTTTAAAATTCTTAGTTTGACAACTCAAACAGATTTAAAGTGGAAACTCTGGAAATACATAGCAAATACTTCCGTAAATAAGCTGCCGAAAACGCATTTGATTTATGAAACTCCAGAATTTTATAGCGATTTTGAAACTTGAAATTCAAACTATCCGATCTGTGCGTGCTGGTGTATAAAACATTGAAACTCGAAAATTGAAGTAGTTGTAATATTGCAATTCTGGTTGTTTTTCATCAGGAATTTAGGTTTCCAGTTAACTTTCTAACGATTTTCAAACATTAACTTGCCCTTCAAAACTTTGCCTTTTCATAAATAAGTCTCAAACTGACACGCGAACATAAAAAAATCATAGGTCGAAAACCACTTTAGACTTCAAATCAAAATTTTGTAGAGTTATAGAAAAAAGATCAGTCTCATAGGTGTCCAAATAACAAAAGCTTCGTGAAACTCATTATTTTTTCAGAAATTTTTTAATGTTTGAAAGTTCAGGAAGGTGTTTAAAAGACGCAGGCTAGACTTCAAAAATTTTTAACTCAAACACCCCCACAGTCCGTCTGTTAGCATTCCACAGACCCAAAGTTTTTTTATTAAAAATTCTAAAACTTTTCGCAATTCAAGAAGATATTCAAACACGCTGGTCTCTAAAAATTCGTAACTCCAAAACTGAAACAGCCTTGATTTTCAAATTCTGGATCGCTTAGAGAAGAGTATTGCCTGACTAAGCCGGAAAGCGTTTAAAAAATACAAAGGACACACATTAAATGTTTAAAACTTCAGTTTCACATATAACCGCTGCTCTGTACAAATGAATAAATCCAGAACGCAAACATATCTAAGATTGGAATTTCGACCACTTTTAGAAGAAGCTTGATTTAGTAGGTTTGTAAAATTTCAACTGATTTAAAGCTCTAGTTGATTTTCTAGGAATTTTCAAAAATGCGTCTTCAAACTGAATTCAGGTGCTCTAAAAGTTGAAGCAAAGGCTTTCAGCAACTCTACCCGCTTTCTTCATAGGGAAAATGATCAAAAGCCACATGAACTACCTAAAAACTATGGGAACTTTTGCAATAACAAAAACCTTATAATAAATAATAACGGATAATAAATCGGAATTTATTGCCGATTATTAATGCAATCAACTTTTTCTGCACGCATGTAATCCATAAATAAAAGCGGCATTAACAAAGCCCTATTAGAGTCGAACTCATCAAGTCTCACATTTGCAAGCTGAGTACCATTTTATGGAAACTGTTTCCGGACAATTTATTACCAAAACAATGCCATTAAGAATGAGTGGAAATTTACAAGATTGACGCAAAGAAATTGAATAACAGCTCGATTAAACATTTGTTTTTTTTCTGCGTGTGAAAACCTGTAAATCCCCATTTAGTATTCAAGAGGTCAACGGTGTTGCTTAATGCCGCACCTCAGAACTACTTACTACCAGATGATGTATGTAAATCCTTGCCATAAAATTAAACACTCAATTTGCTTGAACTGGATCAAGAGCAATTGTTTGTTCTTCAAAATGCCATGCTTTTTTAGCCATCGTGATTGCCTTCATTCATCATGGCTAATAAGACGAAATTTATTATTTCCCTTATTCAATTTTGATTGGTCAAGCCAACAGCGAATTGGGGCACTGATGCAGTTGTTTTTCAAACCAGTTTTCAATTGTTTAAGGCTGGAAAAATGTGACTGTTTATCAACTGAGCAGTAAATCTAAATCATTCAAGGTGGAGATGTTCAAGATGTTTGTTTTAGATTTGCGATGGAAACTTTTATTATCGAGACTTGTATATGTATTTCGAGAAATCGGTGTCATTGTTTGTACGTGAATTTTAACGACATTTTTCTGCAATTAGCGAATCGTATTTTGCATATTTCCGCTTCCACTGCTAGTAAATAATGAGCAATTTCAACAGATTTTTAAGATTGAAAAAAAATCCTGATTATAAGGCTAAAATTGAAATAAAATCAA